TTCTACAAATGGTGAGAAAAGTCGGTCGTTAGAATATAAAAAAGAGTCTCCGATACGCCCATGAACATATAGAACAGTAATTCAAAATAATTCAAATTACTTACAAAGGCTCATAAATCTATTTAAATAAATTGCAGTAAATGTTAAAAAAAAAAAATATATATATATATATCGCTAAATTACATAAGAAAATTTAAGAACAAATTAACGCGGAAAGCCGTAGAGAATAAATTGAGATAAGCCATCATTTTACCTATAATTGATATTCAAATGATGAATTGTTTAACGATTAATAAACGCTTAATAGATTTTTTTATATTTTAGAATAATCCTAATTATGTTAATATTCATTTCAATTATTAAAATTAGTCTTAAGTAAATTAGAATAATCCGTCTACCTGCAATAACAGCTTCAAGCTCCAAATGCCGGAATCATAACGCACGTAATCTCCAGCTTTTCACTTCTCTTTCTCATGTATATTTCTGCGCAAAATTGCCCAGAGTTAACTACGACAAATCACAGATCAATAATTACAACCAGAATCACGACCATGAGAATTGACGGAACATAATTTATTATTGATAAACTATACAGCTATCCACGTTTTATTTATTAAATCGTAATTGCTTAAATGCGTAATAAAACATCGTATTTGAACATATTAAAACTTATTTTTAATGACATATATATATATATATATATATATTTCTTTTTTTAATTATTTAAAGAATTTATTTACGTTACTGCAAATATGATATTTTTCATTAATATGTATAATAATTTTGAAATATTTCGATAGAAATACTGAAACTCAAGACAAAGGATTTATATCTTTTATTATTTATCGTAGAAGTATCCATATGTAAATTATTATGGTAGAAATGTAAGAATCGTAAGTTTAAATAACTTTAGTTTTTGTAAACATTTACATGCTACAAGTGCTACACTCAACATTTTTTTTATTAAAATAATATAGCCGTTTTATAATATCATTTTTTAAATTATTTGCATAGTATGTCTGTGAACATCTTCTGTTTTGAAATCCTTTCTTGAATAAAGAGTATGTTCGAATTAATGTCGAAAAAATAGAAGAAATAAAGATCTTTTAAAGAAAGTAGGATAAACAGTGAGTCATGGATTTCACCAAAATTCTTCCAATTCAGAAATAATGATACTTAGAATCAGAAGTTGCATAAAAAAAAATGAAACAAATAGTGTCCGAATGATTTAGTGAAATAAAACTTGACTTCCTGACATGATCCATGTGTATATCTATAAAAAAAGAAATATCTTCTACCAACACACCGAAGATTTATATAACTGAATTTCCCATGAGTATTGTATTAGCTGTTACTTCACCAAATATTCAGAAGCATCGCTTATGCGTTTCTGAAAACTAGTATAAATAAAGATATTCTACATTTTTTGCTAAGCAATGAGTACTCTATTTTCTTTTTTCTTTAAATGCACAAGACAATTATTATCGCCTAAATTTTTATTTTTAATTTTTCAAAGAAATAATTTAAAGCAGACAATTAGGAAAAATGAATACATTATAATAAATTATATTGGTAATTAATTATAAAAGTAGAAGTATGTGAGTGTACAAATAAGCGTAAATAAATATATACTACCCCCATAAAATATGTATATTTGTATAAAATAAATGAATCAGTTTTAATTAATTCGATAAAATATTATTAGCTTTTAAAAGGGAGTAAATATAAAAAATTCAATTTATTGAATAAAAGTGAGAGAATATGTATATTTTTTCAAATAAAATAAATCAATAGAGCTTTGAAAAAGTCCCTAAAATTTAAATAATAATGAAAGCGGAGAAACGTGTTATATATACTAATAATAGATTATATTTTATTATTATAGATGGTCGGTAGAATAAATATACACCTATCAATATTTCTTATTTCAAGGCAAATGAGAAAGAAAAAAGCAGCCTATTGATATAATTAACTCGAGTGATAATTCAATATCTTTTATTAATATGATGACAATATGGTTGTACAAAAAAAAAAAAAAAGGAAGAAGAAGAAACAAAAAAGTTTGAACATAAAAATTGAAGAAAAAAAATTACTTTCATATTGATAATACTGTAGATTTGCATAACACAAGCAACAAAATTATTAATTATTATAAAAATTAAAAAAATTTGCTACTCCTGCTAAATAAATTACTGAAACTATGTGCTTCTAATGCAATGTTATGCTCAACAACTTAAATGTATATACAAAAAAATTGCATTCAGTCTAATCGATACTTTTTCAATTCCTTAAAGATCCCATACAGGCACTCTGTATATAATCCTGTAGAATTATAGATTGACAGCTACATTAATAATCCATCAATATTCAATTAGACGAAATATATGAGCAAGTATTTGTAAAAAAAATCAAACTAATGTAAGAAGTTAATCATATTTACGGTGATTTAAGAGTGTGTTGGTAAGAACAGTATCATTGAATAAACGTAAATATATATTAAGCGTGTTCATTGATTTGAAAAAGAAATTATAAATGTAATTAAATTAACAAAGAATCAATAAAGAATATATTAAAAATATAATAAACGTTAAAATACATACATACATACATACACATATATAAAAGAAAGAAAAAAAGAAAAAGAATAGGAAATAAAAAGACTTTATGGCGAATTGTTTCAATAAAATAGTATTCCTGAGCCATACAATTAGAAATCTATCAATATATCATCTTTGTACGACATTTTTTTTTCTTGTGCCGTCAATCGACATCCTCATAATATGATATTTTTTACATTTAAATTCCAAAGACAGTCGTGCATAATGATTGAATAATTTTCTAATGGTAGAGAAAGCGCAAAGAATAAGAGATGTCTTCGTGTGTAATAAACAAAATATCCTTTATTCGGTAAATGAAAGTAACATAATCTTATAATTTCATAATTACAAGAGTTTAATTCTCATACCATTCATATTGCTTTCATTAAAAGTTAATTATCATTAAATTAACGGATAAAACTGAGATTTTTCTAATTTTAACAGTGATTTGTTTTTGTTTTTGTTTTTGTTTTTGTTTTTGTCTTTTTTTTGTCCGACAACTACCACTTATGTTTGAGATTATTAAAGCTTAAGCGGAATATGAGAAAATAAAGAACAAAATTTTCGCCTAATAATAAATAAAAAATGAAATTATATTCATATGGACAAATTAACTCAAGTAATTCGTATTTTTTATTTTCAAACAATAATGTTTTTATTTCATTCCATCATAAATTATTAATAATATACAGAAACATTAAGATAACAATGAAAATTGAACAAAGTTTATAATTGAACAAAGTACTTTGTAATTAGATAAATAAATGGCGCAGGTAAAAAACATACCGAAATTCAGATGTAATTATATATTTTATAATGTCGAAATTTTTTAAAATTTCATACGAAAGTATGTGCTGGACTCGATTAAAATCTTATAATCAAGTGATTCGAATAATTAATTATTCCATCTACAAGGTTACTCTAATTTTAACTTTTCGCAACATTTGCGATAATAATGAAATCCCATTATTATTATTCTTATTATTATTATTATATTCTTTTCCCAATATCGACTAGTCTTTACGTGTGAAATAAAATTCTTTAAATTTTGAGCCACGTTTTGATATGGTAAGATAAGAGTGTTTACCTCTCACTTTATTGCATATTATTATTAATTTTAATTGTCAATACGTGACGTATACGCCCAATCTGTTTTTTTAAATTTTCAAATTCACCTTCTCTCCGTTAATTCGTTTCGTTCTCGTTCCTGCAACTTTGTTCTTCGTTAGCTCGAAGAATCATCCAAGAGAAATGTAGATGCTCGGATATATTATAATATTATTAAAACTAATATTATTAAATGATCTAGTTAGACCGTAAATTCTAAATTTCTAATTAATTAACTGTGCGTGCATTTTATCGTATTATATTTGATAAATTGTCGTCGGCATGTTAAAATTAAACACAACCTCTTTCGCCCCTTCCTCCTCCTTATCCTAACAATAACAATAATATTCATCATGATAATAATAATAATAATAATAATAATAATAATAATAATAATAATAATAATAATAATAATAATAATAATAACGATAAACAGCAACGATGATAATAATAAAAATAATGTTGTTGGCATTTTTAAGCGAATCGTGATTTACGCACTCAATCTTTGGACAATCGACTGCGTAAAAAATTGTTTTTGTTTCATTTTCACATTGAGTGCACTCAAGTGGTTGGATTGATAATGTCATTATCATTGTCATTGTCATTATTGTGTCGGGCAACCAAACGCTATTTTTACTTGCCAACTCATTGTGAGTTCGAAAGCTAGGAGAATCGCGCGCGCTAGTGTGTTCGTGTTTATGGGTGTTTATGTGTGTTTGTTTGTGTGTGTTTGTGTGTGTGTGTGTGTGTCTCTCTCTCTCTCTCTCTCTCTCTCTCTCTCTCATTATTTAAAAAATGCCAAACAACGTGCAAATACATATGATCAGGGTGTGAAAGGGGACGATGAGCTTTTGAAGGTAGAAAACCGTTCGGAGAACGTTTCCCCGCTAAGGTATTATCGCGAACAGACCTCTCGAGGAGCATCGAAACATCAATAAAAGTCCGATGTTCCGGTGCCACGTCACCTTCAATCTTCTCGGCCGCAATCAGCGCACAAAAGTCCCATCCGCTGTCAGATTATTAGCTTCCCTCTCTCTCCCTCCGACGGCCGCATAAACACACGGGAAGTATTTGTTTAAAGGAGGGACGAGAAGTTGCCGAATGCATCGGCGATCGTGATTCGTGAATTCCGCCGATGGTAATGGGCGAATCGCGATAGCGGCGGCGACGGCGGTAGTTCGCGCGAGCGCTGCTACGGCGTTCGCCGTAGCAGGAATTGAGGTTAGAGCCCGCGAGGTGTTACTATTAGGGAGAAAAGGTCGCGGGACGGTAGCGTAAACGCACATCCCTCGTAAAAGCGATATTGCGAATAATTCGAAGCGCGATGTATGCACCAGCTAAGGGACAATGAAGCGAAACTTAATTAGCTGGTTTAAGTTCCTGGCCTTAGCGGCGTTTACCGTCTTCCTCACGACCCTCATCTTTCGACTGCTTCGAACGCCTCGTTCGCGTGGATCCTTGGTGCAGATGAATATCGAAGATGGTAGGAAGATGGCAGCGGTCGCGCGGTCTCCTTTGAAGCAGGTAGGAGCGATGCCCTCGGATTGTCATTTATATTTAACGACCATATGCTAACATTGATTTTGTGTTTTTGTAAAGATGTTAGATGAGAAAGTGGATTGGCACGATTACGAGGGGATTAGGGAGGAGCTGAAGAGAACGGGTATTGGGGAACAAGGTAAAGCCGCAATGCTCCCACCGTCGTTGGATTTAATTAAGTTTAAGCTTTACGAGGTAAATGGCTTTAATGCTGCTCTAAGTGATCAAATATCAGTCAATAGATCCATACCTGATATTAGACATCAAAATTGCAAAAAGAAAAAGTATTCGAAAAATCTTGATTCCGTTTCCGTAATAGTTTCTTTTCATAATGAACATTTTAGTACTTTGATGAGAACCTGTTGGAGCGTTATCAATCGTTCGCCACCTAATCTGCTGCAAGAAATTATTTTGGTCGACGATGCGAGCACGAAACTGCAGCTGAAAGATAACTTGGACGAATACGTAAAGAAAAATTTGCCTAAAGTGAAGATAATAAGATTGTCGGAGCGCTCTGGTCTTATAAGGGGCAGACTAGCCGGTGCGGAAAAGGCAGTGGCTAAGATTCTAGTTTTCCTCGATTCTCATAGCGAAGCCAATGTCAATTGGCTACCCCCTTTGCTGGAGCCAATATCAAGAGATTACAAGACTTGCGTGTGTCCGTTCATCGATGTCATTGCTTACGAGAGCTTTGAGTATAGAGCGCAAGACGAAGGCGCCAGAGGGGCATTCGATTGGGAATTGTATTACAAGAGATTGCCCTTGCTCCCCGAGGACATGAAAAATCCTACCGAGCCATTTAAAAGTCCAATAATGGCTGGTGGATTATTTGCCATTAGTGCCAAATTCTTTTGGGAACTAGGTGGCTACGATCCGGGCTTAGACATTTGGGGTGGCGAGCAGTACGAGCTCTCGTTTAAAATTTGGCAGTGCGGTGGACAAATGTACGATGCACCGTGCTCGAGAGTCGGACACATTTATCGAAAATTTCCGCCTTTTCCAAATCCCGGTCACGGCGACTTTCTTGGTAAAAATTATAGAAGAGTGGCCGAAGTGTGGATGGACGAGTATGCCGAGTTCATTTATCGAAGACGGCCTCACTTGAAAACCATAGATCCTGGCGATTTAACGGAGCAAAAGGCTCTGAGAGAGAAATTACAGTGTAAATCTTTCAAGTGGTTCATTGAAAATATTGCTTTTGATCTAGTTAAGGTTTATCCTCCAATCGAGCCCGATGATTTTGCTCATGGAGAAATAAGAAATATCGGGGCGCCAAATCTTTGCTTGAACATTAAAGGCGAGATAGAGGAGGAGGAAGTTGTAGTTGATATTTGTAAAAAAGATAATACAAACGTTAAAGGGGACCAAGAATTTCAATTGACCTGGCACAAAGATGTTCGACCGTATAAACGCACCGAGTGCCTGGACGTTTCGAAAGGAGATGAAAAGTCACCGGTAACTCTGTATCCGTGCCATGGCAAGCAAGGGAATCAACTTTGGCGTTACAATGTCGAGAAACAGTGGCTGATTCATGGACACGGATATAGATGTCTAGATACGGATCCAGCGCAGAAGAAAATCTTTGTCACAAATTGCGACGATGCATCTTCTACTCAAAAGTGGCGAATAGAGCATGTGAATATGAAAGCAATGAATCATTGGGAATACGTTACTGTGTAGAATTATATTATTATAAAATTGCCATACTTGTAACTAGTCATTGTTTTGATAATAACAAAGAAGAAAATTATATTTTTTTCTTTAAAAAAAAAAAATATATTTGAAATACTTGCCAATGATCGTTTGATCTAATAGTTTGAGCGAGCTTGATTTAGAATATAATTGGCATCGATATTCCAATAAACAAATGTGCCTTACAAGATACTAATTGAAAATATAAAAATGCTTGTAAGAGAATGCTTTTAATTAAAAAAAAAAAAAAAAAAATGAGCATCTTGTTTATTTAGACTAATTTTAATGAGATAATCACACGTCTTCTTAATGATGGTTACATACACTTATTGATTTTATTATTTTACTCAACTGAAATTAGTATAAAATAATGTTGCTACACTTTTGGTTATGAGTTTTCAAAAGGCAAAGGTCGTGCATAAGTTTTTATCGATTAATATTAATTGTAGTAGAAAGGATCTTATAAAGATCCTTCTTAAAAGTATTTTATTATTTGTTATCTTTCCTTATAAGGTCTATTTATAATTCTATTAAAGGTGTAGGAATTGATAGGTATATTGTTAGACTAAAGAGAAGGGTTTTATTATATATTTAATTTTAAAAGTTTGTTTAAACATTTGTAGCTTTCCGTTTAAAAAATTTTAACAAAGGACATTCTATCCACGATTCTCAGTATTGTAAAACTTTCGGGCTATCGATATTTTGTAAAAGAAAAGTCCATACCGATGATATTATCCACTCTTGTTACATTATGATCACCATATCACGATCTAATATTGCATTTATCATCGAAGTCTATAAGACTCATAAAGATATTACAAGGATATATTTTCTAAATGTACTTTCCGGTAATTGTGAAATGCTCCACATACTATCTAATAATACGTATTTATATTATTGCAATACCTTTTCACCTATAGGAAATAAACATTTTAAGCCGACTATATATATATATATATATATATATATATATATAAGCATAAAAGATTAAAGTAATTAATCATTATAAAACATGCTGTAACATTTAAAAGGTGAATAATTGTTTGCATTTGCCAGAACCTCGTTTTAAATGAAATAATTTATATTTTATAAATTAGTGCGGCTCTTGTGAGCACGCGTGTGATTGTGTGTGCGCGTAAAAATACGTATAAATTTACAGTGATTATACAAGAAACTCTGTGATAATTCTGTAAACTTTAAAAAGAAAGGGAAAAAGAAATCAACGTAATCCCAGTTTTCTCCAACGAATCGGTGAGATTATTTTATACGTTTCCTCCGTTCTTTACGTAAATCACTCGCCCCAGTAGTACCTATACTACATTAAATTAAATATTTTATAGAAATTGTTTTCGTGATATTATATTAAGCGAGTGTGCTTGAGATTAAGTGTAATTTTTATAAAAACATTGAATTTATACTTGTCTTTAAATAATTTTATATGTTATTGATCGCAATACACAAACTGACGATATTATTGTAATAGATTTATATAACGAATTCAGATGAGAATCTTAACATTGTTCTGAAATAAAACTTATTATAACAACAATTTGATTGATTTTGATTGATTTCTTATCTCATATTTAACAATTTCATATAAATTGTAATTTAAGAGAGAACCTTTAAACTATCATATAACCATTTATTATTCATAATAGGCCATTTCGACAGTTGTCATGTAACATTCTTAAACGTAAGAAATAAATATATTGTGTGCTGTGCCAACAATCGAATAAAGAAATATTTCATATTAGATATTTGGATTTAATGTACAGTTCGAAGGAAGATCAATCATTAAAGTTTTTATTAAAATAAATATTATTTCAATTTTTCTACATAACAAAATTTTTTATTCCAATTACAATATTTTTCTTTTTATTTTAATAATTATGACAGAAAAATAACTATATATTAATGTTAATTGACAATAAAGTTTTCTTTATCTTTATTTAACTAAGGACCTTCCTTGTTGTCATCCATGTAATTAGTTTTAAAACAATATATATGTATGTATCTCTCTCTCTCTCTCTCTCTCTCTGTATACGTATTTATTAATTCAATTTTTCATTTTTTATTTCAAAACATTTCAAAGTTTCATGCACCAAAATCTCCATTTTAATAATTAAAAATTCATAAATACTGTAAACTCAAAATTATATATTATTGCATTATATTTCTCGAACGATAAATAACATAATGAATGATAAGACAGACATAAAAATTTTTATATATATATATATTATACACTAGCCAATATTAGGACACATTTATTTTGAAAATAATTTACCAAAATTTAATTATAAACATGAATTTGGATGTAAATTAATTATATAAGAATGATGTAAAAATTATTAAATTATGACTTTTTAATTTAATGGACAAATTCATTTTGGCTTCACAAATCTAAATATAAAATGATATATTAATTCTTATTATATTGCTTTTTATTTATTATATAATTTTTATTGAAAATATTGAAAATAATTATCTAATGGTTATTTATTTATTTATTTATTTTTTTTTTTTTTTTTTTTTTTTTTTTTTACAATAAATTCAACAAATTCCATAATTTCTAATAATATAAAAAGATTGTATACAAAATTTAATGGTAAATAACCTCGACCGATAAAATGAAATTGTAGCTTATCTCCATATCAAAATGGACATTTAAACAAATATGTTTCATTGGCATATCATTAATTCAATTATTGCGAATAATGAAAATAGTTGTCGCTTAAATATTATATTTATACTCGAAATCAAAATAGCTTTAGTAATTAACTAATTATTTAGAAAAAGAGACACCTTAGGAAGTATTCAAAATTTCTTCGACTTAATAACATGTCTTCCGAGCATTAAAATATCAGCATAATTATTGTCGCTCGTAAAATGTTAAATGAAATAAGCTTTTCTTCAAAACAAATACAAAAAAAAAAACAAATAAAATAAATAAATAACGTATTATTATGTAAGTAATATAATACAAATGTTTATATCTTTTTATAAATAAAAAAAAAACTAGGTAGTTTTAGCTCACAAATGACTGTAATATGATTTGTGCTTTACCATATCTTTCGTTACTTGATTCACATTGGAACAACCTATAATAAATAAAAGTTTAACTATTATAGAGCAAACAATTTGGTAAACTACTACGTGAAAACTATATTTTCATAAAAAAAAAAAAAAAAAAAAATCGGATATTCTTATACAGTGAATGTTGCAAGCTGTTTTTACCTGTTAATGCGAACGCGAGATCGATCTCTCGTCTCATCAATTCGAGGACAGTTCGAGCTCCTTTTTCACCTCCGCAGGCTAAGCCCCATAATATAGGCCTTCCAAAAAACACCTAGAAGCAAGCCTATTAGTCTCGGATAATTTCAAATTTGGCCGATAAATGGCGATTGAATATTACCATTTTAGCTCCTAACGCTAAAGCTTTAAAAACATCGGTCCCTTGCGTCACACCACCATCCAAATAAACTTCGACTTTCTTGCCGACGGCTTGAACGATCTCCGGTAGCACTTCGATCTGCAATATGAAAAATATACGTAAAATTAAAAGGTTGGTTATTGATTGATTGATTGATTGATTGATTGATTGATCGATTGATTGATTTATTTATTTATTTTTTCTTTGTTCTATCTCTAATGAACGTCGAATGTTGCGCCATTGACGATTGTTCGTATGGCGTTTAGAACGTATTACCGTTGCGGGAGTCCCGTCGATTTGTCGTGCTCCGTGATTCGAAACCATAATCGCATCAGCTCCGTACTTAACTCCAAGCAATGCATCTTCGGACGTTAACACGCCCTTTAAAACTATAGGTAAATTTGTAACGCTGTCAATGAAGAAAATTTGTTTGTATTACGGTAATTTTTAAAATCCGCACCGACAATACAGTCGCTAAAATCGCTAAAAAGACGCAATTACAAAACTTTATAATTTTAATTATTGACGTGTTTAATAAGTACCTTTTCAACCACTTGATCACCTGCCAGTTTAACGAGTCATCGAAAAGATTCGTTACATATTCACTGAGGCCCGAACCTTTGGTAGTCGAATTGATTTTTCGCGATAGAAAGCCTTCGAAATTGGCAAGCCTGCGCATTAAATAGTACGCTTTAATAATAATAATAATAATAATAATAATAATAATAATAATAATAATAATAATAATAATAATATGAACAGCTACGGGGATAATAATTAAGATAATGAGATACGCGTTAAAGCGAAAAAGAAACAACAGCAACAATAAACCTCAAATGATTTGGGAGAGTAAATTTATTTTTAATATCTCTCCTGCGGTCACCAAACATTGGAGTGTCAACGGTGAGTACCAGCGCCTTGAAATCAGCTTTCTCCGCTCTTCTTATTAGATTCAAGGTGACATTCCTGTCGAAATAGACGTACAATTGGAACCATTTTATGGCTTCCGGGGCGGCTTTTGCAACTTCCTCGATGCTACTCGTTGAAATCGTCGAGAGAATGAATACGGTTTTTGCCGCTTGGGTCGCTAAAGCAATATCAAATTAATCATAATCATCAATATTAACGTAAGTCCGTCGATGCCTCTATAATACGACGACATATTTTGTTTTATTACTTTCTAATATTATTGATGCTAGATGTTTATTTGCTTAATAGCCAATAGTTCTCCGCTTATAATAATATGCTGTCACTTTTTTTGATTTGTTTGTTTTTATTTTATTTTATTTTTTTTATTTTTTTTTATTTTTTTTTTTTTTCGTTTTTACATACACACGCGCGCGCGCGCGCACGCACGCGCACACACACACATTTATTTTTTAATCTTACAATAAGAGGAATTTCTTCGGCTCTATTTTATAAAAATCAGTTTATCCAATGATTATTATTGATATGACGTGTCAAGAAATGGCACTTTTGTTGATTTAAAATAATGTCAGTTTGATTACATACAAAATAATCATACGTTGCAATACTCGAACGATTTTGTAATAAGAATAATCGCCGTTAGCAATGGATAAATTATTGTCAACGTAATGCGATCTTTAATAGCCGAGCGATAAAGTTTTCCAATCGGTAATAGCTAATTAATTATCATACTTTACCTCTGGCAGTGGCACATTCGCCATCGGGATGCGCCATCCGTTGCATTGCCGTCGGGGATACGCCCAATGGCATCGAAACATTTTGTTTCAATACCTTGGTGCCGATATCTCTTTTAGAGACATCTCGCAATACTCGTGGACGTATTCGTATTCTAAAAGTTATTATTAATCGTATTGAGGAGACTCGAGGCTGGAATTTAAGTTAACGCGTTGATAATTAAGTTATAAATCGTTCGAATGTATTTGTCAGAAGGCTTAATCGAGAAAAAAAAAAATAAACTCATATGATGTGTAGCAATATCATGAGAACGATAAAGACTTTTTTTCTCTTTTCATATATCGTTCGACATTTCAATTACTCTGATCGTCGACTTTGTATATTTTTATATTTATCCGACTTAACTAATTACGCTCATCGCCCTTTCACAATACGGCTTTTCGATAAATTAATAAAAATCGAGCATTATTATATCTTATTTGTTTACATTGTGCATTATTGCCAATAATTATTAGAAGACGCTATTGCGCTAATTGCGTTAATTGCGTTAATTGCGTTAATTCAAAGCTGTGTCGTCGATGCTGACACATACCATCAAGCCAACGTACGAGGCTACTTATAAATCTTTAAACTTTAACTTATCAATGCAAAAGAGTATTTATTAACAGTTAAGCAAACGCTCGTATTCCCGCATTATTTCATTCGTTTAATCGAAATTTCTGATTTATTATAAATATCTCAAGTCAAATTCATTCAAGGCAGATTCATACGTACTGTTTAAACGCTTCCTTATTCCATCTTAAGGTATTTTCTTCTCCAGCTCCACTTTTATAATAATCTCTTACGACGGGTGCTAAATTGTTCATTGCGGAGTTTTCGAAATCTTGGATACAAACAAACCGCGCCATCTTTATCCGTGTATTACCAATAATATTTCTTCAACTATAAAGTTTTTTTTTTTTTTTTTAATTTTTTTATTTATATATTTTATGATTAGCCAAAAGAAATGAAAACTGTAATTCTAATGAGTGCGAAAGAGAGAGAAAAAATTGTACCACGGCTAAACATTTCTAGAACAATGTTAAAGAATGAATTTTATTTGTCAAAAAAATATTTCAATTTCATAACAATAAGTTCATCGTGCTAAGCTTATATAGCATCTGTTTACATATTTTTTCCAAATTATTATTAACGTAATTCCTCAACGACATATCGCGATGCTAAAGAACTAATGCTGAATGAACGTAATTGAAGATTTCGATAAAATAAAAAAAAAAAAAAAAAAAAAATTCCAATAATGGACAATCTAAAGAAAAATCTACAATCCTTTATTCGCGAAGATACAACTTTTTTTCTTTCTCTTTTTTTCTTTTTCTTTTTTTTTTTTTTTTTTCTTTTCGTTTTGTCCCTTCTTAGCACGACGTTACATAAAACAATGCTAAAATATTTATTGGGCATAAATATAAAATACCTGTGTATCGGCGTTGAGGTCTTAAGCCATGCAAAATCGTGAAACAAGCTGCTTCGGAATTCGGCGACTTTGATTCGGCAACTAAGACACGAGATGTATTTTGAAATATCCGTGAAGAGACAAAGTCCGTCGTAGCCTTAATGCAATGACACCGCGTTAACCATCGTTTCTATTCAATGCCAATGTAACTGATAAGTTCTCTCGATTTTTCCGCATAGACACGGGCCCCACTCGTCTCCACTCCCGTTAAGTCTTCCACTCGAAACAGCGGAAATCTTTATGAGAAGCTCTAGCGATCAGAAGCCAAGCCGATAAGAACGAGTAGACAAGATATAATATTGTAATAGTTATATATATATATATATATATATATATTGATTTAGCGCTGAGAAAGTTCCTTGTTTACTCGAAAATCATCATCATAAACACTCTGTCAATATTACTTCAATTATTCAGTTGAATTTTTTGTATTTATTTATTATTATTTTTTTTTTATTATTTTTTGTTTTTTTTTTTTTTGTTTTTGTTTTTGTTATTTGCCAAATTGCGAAAATGTAAACTCTAAGGATAGATATAATTATGAGATCGAATAGATTTGATTTTTTGTTAACAAAGTTCGGACAGTTTATTTCCAACGTGCCTGACAGCATACATACGTGATTTATATTGCGCCGTACTCTTCAACAATTAAATGATAAATTAATAAATTACTTTATATTTTACAATTACTATGTAATATACCGATATTCTTCTCCTGCAATTGATTTTCTTATTTTTAATGATAAATCGAGAATTTAGATATGTTTAAGAATATTTGCACTTGCCCTCCAATGTAATAATAGTAATTGTAAATTTTTATCTATTATTATAATTTCACATTATAAATTATTGCCTTTAAGAAATATAGTGTGAACGATGTTGTTACGTTTTGCCTATATACAACACCGTGTAACGAACGGGCACGTAAGTAAATAATAAACTCAAAACAAAACTCATAATGTACAAGCGACATTGCATACTTCATACAATTCGACAGTACTTCGTTATTTAATGTGCTTTTATGCATATTTTATAATATATCTATTAAATGCTGAAATTGTCAAGATTTATTAATTGGCTTATTAATGTCGTTATGGGTGAGAAGGAAGGTGGGAAGCAACGGTTGTATGAAAGAATCACTAGATTAGTGATATGAAGAGATGAGATATCAGTTAAATAGATCTACTATTGCATTAAATGTCCCTTTAATTAGACGAGTCCAGCTAATATTATGCTTAATCGAGTGGCAACAATAATATTTTGATGATTAGGGGTCATGGTCGGTACGATGATTGCGACTATCAAGATCGATTAGCTGTCACATTAAAATAATGACGATTATATATAGGACCGCCGATACGTAATAATTAACGCAAATGGCTAATTTGAGATTAAAACTGCCAATGAGAAACGATGGTGAAGATTGATGAAAAGAGTCGATATAAGTCTTAGCTATTGAAATTAAACGATACACGCTAATCAATGGTGGCGACTTGACGGGATAAAAATTTACTCGTAAACTTTTGCCCTTTGTCCAATTAAACTTAAGAAGCGAACAAAAGGCGCATCGCGATAAGAGCGGAGGCATAAATAATATCGAGCCGTGGGTCGTTGATTAGTCGATGCAGCATTTGAATGAAAGAAGAAAAAAAATTTTTTTCTTTTCTTTTCTTTTATAACACCTCGTCGGTAAACCGGCAGTCTTTCAATTGAACGTAAAATCTGAATTAAATAACTAATAGCTCGTGAATTTTTACGCTCGGGGAGTGTTATCGCCTGGGGTGTTGACGATTTTTCAAAATTATTGAACGTAGCAGGACGCACCGAATGGCGACGGGAAGGGCGCGGGTCAACGCTCACCGAGGCTAACAAAGGTTTTTGCGAGGCGACTTGACCCACGCACTCCTCGTCGCTTGCTTTTCATTCGCGAATGAATGCGGAACGAAGGGAGGGACGAGGCGTTATTGAGAAAAGAGATAGAGATGGAGATAGAGAGAGAGAGATAGAGAGAGAGAGAGAGAGAAAAAAAACAAGAGTTTTTCATGGAGCTCGTAATATAAAAGAGTCCGGTTTTCCCCGGATGAAAGGCCCGATGACGCCAGGAGAGAAAATGCGAGGAAAATTGATCGTCCGAATTTCAAAGCCGAGGAGATGTGACGCTCTCGGGGAATTGCGTTGACTCGATTAAATAAAGAAGTATATTGGATTAATTATAGATAGTACGGGGAGCGTTCCTGCCTCGGTTGTACGGCGATTTATGAAAGAGCCGGTGAATGCGGAAATTGAGTGATCGTAAGACGAGCCGGTAAGTACCTCGTAAAAGTTTAATTACGCCCGTGCGAATTGTCTCTGCATTGCCAACAAATGAGCGTTTATTGCCAAAACAATTACATATGAAATTCGTACACACGCACAATGCATATATATATATATATATATATATATATATATTGCATTTGTATATATTCGAATGATTTTAGTTATACCGATGAGTTTTAATTGGCGCGGGACCTGTCAAAATTCCCAGCTATTCGATTATTTTCGAAATTTCAAATTTTTCCATACATCGCGGACATTGGTTTGAGCGATACCGCCGACAAGATTCCCGCCCTTTGGCCCGATTACATGGACGAGAGAGGTCGTCGTGTCCTTCTACCTACCACCGATCGTCGAGTTCGTTACTTTGTGCGGTATCGATGATAAATAAAAGGAAGATAAAACGAAGAAAAAGCGAGAAAAGGATATCCCGGCACTGAATATAAATTTCGTTCTTTTGTTTTTGCGAGTAATGCGATAAAAGGGCCACAGGTGTAAATTACAATTTTATAACTCGGCAAGTGGGAGCTTTACACCGAGATTATTAAATCCTACGATATTAAAGTCAAATTGGCTGAAGCGAAGCGTCATTTCCTCGAAGATCTTGAGAATCTATTGAGCCCAGTGGAATGCGTGTGGCCCCTCGGCACTGGGAACGGAAGAGCGGCCACGCGGGTATCGATCCAACATTCGAGGTGTAACGGAGCTGTTTTAATCGCAGTTAACCGGGACCGGGTTGCTCGAAAATGACGGTGCGCTCGACCTTCCGTTATGCGGCTTACCAAATTTCGGGATTCCTCGACATGTCGTTGTCCGATGTCCGATGTCCAGCAGCGATGAGAAAAAGCTCCCCGAGTCTGACATTCGTCGCTTCCAACAACTCTTCCCGACTGCCTCTCGTAATGCCAATTTTTATTTCATAACTAACGCCGCGATCGATGGACTCCATTGAGATTGAAATTGCCTTGACTCTGGATAGCTTGTGTTTCGGGAAGGGTTGGGTTTGTTTTCTGTTTTTGCTCCGCACGCCCCCCCCCCCAACCTCTTTTTTTTTCTTTTCTTTTGTAAAACTATTACGTGAAACATTAGACATTTAAATGTGAAGAATTCTCTTCGTGTGTGCGCCTGTCTACGTCGAAATATTCGCTGTGCGAGAGTAAATTTTAATATCTCGCCTCCGTATCACTTCATATCCTATCGTACGGCTAATTAAATTAAATCGCATTGGAGAAAGATGGCTAGCTCCGTGGAGTGTGAGAGCATCTTTTGTTTGTTGAACTGAAAGTGCAGCACCAAGTGAAAATTGTAGAAAATCAAACAAACAAACAAACAAATATTTTGAATAATCCGAATGATTGCTGATATCGTAAGTAGAGCTTGAGTATGCCTTAATCATTACTTAGTCGTTTTGCCAAGTTTTGCCGCTGCGAGTGATTTTACCTTTAAACCGAAAAATTTTTCAACTACAAATAATACGCTAAGCATTAAAATTAATAGCACTGCGCTCCCGTTGACTCCCTCACCATAACAAAAAGTCTTTTATTAATCACTCGCTTCTTACAACTAGTTTTATTTATATTTATATAGATTAAAAGAGCTGTACACATTTTTTTATTAATTAAAATTTAGTCGCTCTACCTTTGCGCCCTCTATCCGCAGTATCACGAGCCAATGTCAATTACGAAAAATTTAATTATTTAATGAATACGCCCACGGCATTAAATTTATCTACATGCTATTCGCTAGACATAATTCAAGATAACTCACATTATAATGATATAATTTAAATATCGATATTAATGATTTGCCCTCGTTACAATTAATTGCCAATTTTAATTATTCAAACATTTGGATTTAAGTGTTCGCGACCGTGCCTATTGTCATTTGTATTTATTACTAATTAACCAATGCGTTACATTCTTTAAAGTCTTATTTTTACTAACATTAATTATTTTATCCTCTTTCCTTGGAATTACTACAATTACCTGCGCACACGTTAATGTTATTTTACACAACTAACGACTTTTAAACTCTAATGATATATTTTCAATATTATAATTGACCATCCATCTGTCTATACGACCAATACTACAACTTTGCGAAGCTATTCTCCAATCTATTTGATATTCGAAATCTTCATGAGCCTAATCAATGTAACAATTAATTATACCTCAACAGCTCATCCAATAATTATAATTTCATAATGTTTAAATAATCATTCGCACTACTCTATTGCAATTTGATTGATAATATCGATTTGTTAAAGTATGTTGTCCTTGTTATCCCAATGACAATACAAACAAAAACAAAACAAAACAAAAAAATACAAACAAAACGTATATTTACAAATATTTATTAAGAAACAATCATTCGTAAAAAAAAAAAAAAAAAAAAAAAAAAAAAAAAAAAAAAAAAAAAAAAAAGACTTTATAACATTTTACTTGCTATACAAAATTTTACTCGCTAAACTTGATTAAAATATTACTTGCTTATAAAATTATTATACAAACACATTCATAATTCATACCATAATTCATTGAATCAACTGATGGATAAATGTCAATTTTGTAAACTTTAAATATATTACTTTATATAAATAAATAAAGGACAGTTTTTAATACCAATAATTGCGATTATATTTAGCTATGCAAATAAATCGCCAAGAGCAAAATTTTGCTTCCCGCGGAATTTTTAACTGAAAAATTGCTTTGACCTACTTTAACGTAATGGTAATTACAATAAAATTACTCGACTTCATTTGAAATAATTGTTAACCGTGAGTAAAATTACTTCACGTAAAGCAACGACACCCCTCAAAGTGCAGTGAAAAATAGTAAACAAAATTTCGTTCCTTAGTATATTTAACGACGCACAGCTTAAATGTTTTTTTTTCTCTTTTTGTCCAATATTAATGAATTAT